CCCTATATATATATATATATATATATATATATATATATATATATTATACACATATTCATATATATACACACAAACAGAGCGGTGTGTTATTCTCTGTTGAGTGATGTACACTTTCAAACGGCCCCAACAACAACAACAACAATTACAACAACAACAACAAGATGAGTCTTTATCTGCGGGTATAAATGTGGAAGCGGGAGTTCCATACGGTGTGAATGCAGATGTGTACATGAACGCCTACACATCCGGTGAAATGACTGGGAATGTACAGGAGAGTTCCTACAATTATACCACAGACACCGGCCCAACACTACCAACATCTCATCCACAACAACAAGGAGAAGAAGGAGAAGGAGAAGGAGAAGGAGAAGAAGAAAATCAAACAGCATCCCAACAACAACAACAACAACAACAACAAGTAACGGATGGTCAACTCTCTGAAGAGGCCTCTGCGGAGGAAACACTGCAGTACTGCCGTGCGATGATTCTCCGCAGTCACATCACTCCGCCGACGAATTGGCGTCGACTGCGGCGTGAACTCCCCGCGTCGATTGCGGAGCTGCACCTCACGCCGTCGGCCCCGGAGACTCTGCAGCCCACCCCGTCGCCGTGTGTGGTGCTCCTCCTGGACAGTGGAGTGCCGGAGGGGATGAGTGCGAAGGAGTATGCAAAGAGTCTGGTCAAGTATGTGGTGGATCTTCTTGCCTATCAACGGGCGGCAACCGCCATTACATCTTTACGATTTGTGAAGATTGGGAAGGAGTTATCACAATTGGTGGTTACATTTGGTCGAGATGTGCAATTGGCGACATTGGTGTTGGAGGAGTTTACAAAAGTGGGTCTGCATGCGGGATTTGGTGCCCCTATGCTGGATCCTCATCATCCTCATAATAATAATAATCATCATCATCATAATAATAACTATCCACAAGAGCGAGAGTATGATGCGCCCTGTGCGACCTTTCACGTAACGGACTATAGACGCAGTATGCATAATGGGACTGGAATAACCGCAGAAGATCTCACATCATTATTATTACCAACACGTACACCGCAGGATATTAGTGTAGTGGAAGGATATGAAAGAGGTGATTTTTATGTAGCGGTCTGTAGACCAGAAACGGTTCATGCATGGTTGTGGAATCCATTCTGTTCATTTCTTGTGCAGCGAACCTTGTTTGAGCGTTGTGGGATACTTATTACAATGGCGGACTGTCCACATACTTTTCTCAGTCGTGGCAGTAGTGGTACTGTTAATGTTAGAAAAAGTGTGCCGTATGGATTACAGCAAATGTTGCCAAAAACAAAACGTCGTCCTCATAATAATATGAACTCAGATATGAATACAGGTGTTGGTGGTGGATATGATCCTAATATGGATGATAGTGGGTTTGAGGAGGATGAGAATGAAGAGGATCTTATGATGGATGGACAATATGGTGCTGGGGATGATTATATGAAGAGGAATGCGTTGGATGAGGATGTTAATTATAATAATGATAATAATGGTGATAACAGCAGCACTGGGAGTCCGAATCATAGTGATAATAGAGATGTATTTGGGAATAGAGGTGTTGGTGTTGGTGGTGTTTCTTCTACAGAAAAGGGAAGAGATCGTATGGGAAAAAGTACTGCGTTAGCGTGGGCTCGCAATGCAAAGGATGAAGTGGACATCTTTGGAGGTCTTGATAGCAACAACAATGATAATAGTAGTAATAATAATAATAATAATAATAATAATAATAATAATAATAGTGCAGAGAAGCCAAATGCTTCTCTTGAGTTTGTGGATGATGATATCGCCAAACTCCTTCAGAATATGAATAAAGAAAAGCAACAACAACAAGACCAACAACAACAACAACCACAACATGAAGAGGAAGTAGGGATGAGTGGTATGGATCCTCAGTTTATGGCCCCCATCCATCCATCCACAGGCGGAATAACAGGAATGCCGCCCATGCAATATCCATTAACACCATTCTCTTTTCCATTACAACAACAACAACAGCAACAATATGGATATTATCTCCCTGTAGGAGGAGTAGGAAGTGCTGCTGGTGGTGTTGGTGGTTGGCAATCGCAGCCAACAATGTCAATGGGTGATCCTCACGCCATGATGACAGCACCTCTACCGTATAATACAGAGATGGCAAATATGTATGAACCTGTAAAGGAACAGAAAGTAAAGTACCCCGCACTTGTGGATGATGATAATGATAATAATAATAATAATAATAATAGTGCGGTAGTAAAACCGGTAGGTGATGAAAAATATACTTCACAAGGAGGAGAATTACAACAAGATCAACATCAAGGATCTCAACAAGCCATGTATTGGAATCGAACAGGTGGAGAAGTAGTGGGTGGCTCTAATAGTAATGTTGGTTACTATCCTATGAATCCAATGCCGGTGTATGGATCACTTCCTTACGCACCGCCTATGCAGCAACAACCACAACCACAACAACCCTATTCATATCAACAACCTTCATTTAGTGGCCCTATGAATAATATGCCTTCTATTCTTGGACAACCAAGATATAATAATAATAATACACCATTTTACTCTGGTGATGATGGTACTAGTGGTAATAATATTGGTAATATGAACATGAATAATAATAGTAATATGGGAGTTTTACCTCCTCCGGTATTATTAAATACACCATTAGCACCATCTACAGCAACATTACCAACATCACTACCACCAACACAACCACCTGTAGTAACAGTGAATGATGCCTATGAATGGGCAGAAAAATTGATGGAACTCACTCAAATTGCCTTTTCCTCCTCAAGTGAGGTGAATGAATCTAAACCGGATGAAATAGTAGAAACAACAACAGAAACAACAATAAATCCTGTTAGTGAAGAGGCTTCCTCAAGATTATTATTTGATCATGTTCCATACACCGCTACTGTACCACCCATAAATGGAGAAATAGAAGAACTTATGACATTCTTGGAAGAACACTATATAGGAATAAAATTAGTAATTACTAGTACAGATCCTGAAATGCAGGAAAGTCAACGTCGTATTATCTCAGCACTTCTTACACGTCAATCAAATACAGAAAAGTCTGAAGAGATGGATTGGATACAAGAAGAAAAAAGTAGTGATGCTGAAGGTGTAAAGTATCATCAATTACCAGCCTTATTACCCTATCTCTTAACAAGTGTATATGGAACAGAGATTGTTTCTACCATTGCAGCCCAAGATCCATTATCACTACTCCCATTATTAACTCGTTATGTACTTCCATTTTTATTAGATGCTGTTTTTGTGCAAACGGTATGTGTTGTGGCTCTCCGTGCGGTACCTGCCGCAAGTAATCCACTTGTTCAACGTATTATTCGTCACTGGGGACCTCTCACAACGTGGCTGCATGCTTATATTCAATCTCAGGCAGCAGCAGCAGAGGCACGTGCGGAGATTGAAATGTCTACACATACATCCGCATCTGCACAATCACTTAAATCCACAACAAAGACAGCAGTGGTTAGGCGACTTACCTCACAGGTGGGGAATACAATAGATATTTTGTTAGCAGGACTTTCAGATGAGCAGCGTGGTAATATACAAGAATATCTTGATAGTACAAATGCATTAGTAAACTTTATGAAATTGTTGCAAACACCAGAAGAAGAAGAAGCAGAAAAAGAACAAGGACAAGAGAATAATAATAATAATAATAATAATAATAATAATAATAATAATAATAATAATAATGAAGAAAAAGAAAAAGAAGAAAAAGAGAAAGAAAAAGAACAGAAGAAAGGAGATGGAGATAAAGAATTGACAGAGATGGTTTCTAATAAGATAACACTTTCTTCTTTATGGGGTACTGAAGGCGCTGTACATCGTTCCTTACTTAGACTTTACCTAAATGCTAATCTTTTCAGTGGCACAGTAATAGTTAATACATTATTTGTACCACAAGTATCCTTAACACGAGATCACTATTACTTTGTACTTGTGGCTTTTTCTAAGAGTCATGTAAGTCCTGTTTTAAGTATAGAAACAGCTCGTGTATGTGGGGCCTTCTTGCGTTTAATGGAAGAGAAAATTCTCAGTGTGGAGAGTGATAGTGGTTCTTCTTTACCACAAGTATTAACAGAAAAAGATGCCGTTCATCTTATGGATGGAGCCTTACGTGCTGTTGATTCTTTAGAAGTCTACACATGTCTTCGAGATGCTTACTTCGCAACGCCTCTTCCTGCGAAACGATATACTCAAGTGGAAACAAAACTCTCACAAACAACACCACCACCAACAACCTCCTCCTCCTCTTCACAACAACAACAACAACATTCTTATCATCATCATAATAATAATAATAAACACCAGGAGGATGATGGTCATTCATCTTCAGTACTAGCACTACCAACAACAGGAAGTGGTATTGGTAGTGGTGGTTGGAATGCTGAATGGACAGTAGCGATGCGTAACTATCCATTGGTGGGTGATCCCTTTACACCGCTTCCAACAGGATGGACAAGTGCCTTAAGTAGATCCTACGGGCATTATTATTTTAAGAATGCTAAAGGTACAGCAACATACAGACATCCAACAGATGCAACAGAATTTATGGCAACACCACAAGCTTTTCTTCAAGAACCTGGTGTAACTACTACACTGGATGAGGTTTTAGAATATGCAAACTCTACATTAGCAACTGCAACAAATTCTTCCGAGAAGAGTGTAGTTATTACTAAAGAAAAGGCTGAAAAGTGGCTGCAAGATCAACGTATGCGTATAGAACCTCTTGATATGGCAACACTTGCATTAATGAAAATAAAATACCGCGTTGGTGGTGGTGGTGGTGGTGGTGGTGGTGGCAGTAACGCTAGCGGTAAATCCTACCGACACCGCCGTGAGAGCAGCGAGGATAATACCCATTATCATCATCATCATCCTAATCCTCATCATCTTCATCATAGCAACAACAATAATAACAATGATAATAATTCCCGTAAGCGTGGACGTGGGCCTCCTCTCCACCCGGCGGATCTCCAACGCCGACTCACTGCCATTCATCGTGCTTATCCCCCTCGCGGTCATCCATTCCCACCGCTTCCACGCGGATGGACGTGCAATCTCAGCAGCAGCAGTGGACTCTATTACTTCCGACCACCGCGCGGCGGGCCTGTGTACAGACATCCCATCACTAGACGTGAATACCGCGCAGCACCGCAGGCATTTGTGCTGCATCGTGGTGTACACATCAACGCGGTGGCAGTTGCCGCCCATTGTGAAGTGCAGAAGGTGGAGGAATGGCTGCAGGATCAGCGGCGACGGGATACACATTTAGATGCTGTGGTGGTTCGTATGATTCCCATTGAATACGCATTCAGTCCTGACTGTGATGAGGGTAGGGATGTTGAGAAGAGTGGAATACGGGGAAGCGGTCAGAATGCTAATACAGAGGAAGAACCACAGCAACAACAGCCCCAACAACAGGAACAAGAACAACAACAACAGGAAGAAGAAGAAGAAAAACAAGAACATCAACAGCAGGAGCAACAACAGGTAGATGAACAAGGGGAAGGGGAAGAGGAAAGGTCGGCTAAGAAGGAAAAGAAAGAGGAGATGGAAGACAATTCGAAAGAGTAGAGTGATTATCTCACTCTTGTAGTTATATGTACATATACAGAGAGAGGGAGAGAGAGAGAGAGAGAGAGAGAGAGTTGACTTATCTGTTCTCTAATTGGTAATACTTACTCTCTTCTTCTTTTTTTCCAGAAAGGCGAATAGAAATGAAAAGGAAAGAAAGCTAAAGGTGTTAAAAGAGAAATAGGAGTTTAAATGAAACGGATAGTGCGTGTCCGTTTCTTTTTTTTTTTTTGTTGTTATTGAGTCCGGATAACTTCTAATTGTTGATTTCTCGTTGTTGTTGTTCTTTTTTTTTTTTTTACTTTATCTCCTTACGTTAATTATCAATCGCTATATTTATCTATTGTTCTCTCTTAGTAATTTTTTTTTTTGCCCTATTGTTTTTTTTGTTTTGTTTTGTTTTCTCTACATCATTCCATTCCTTGTTTACGCCATATCTTGTTTCACATCTTTTTCTTTTCTTTATTGTTCACTAAATACTTTAGATACCGGCGGTGGGTGAGGAGGGGTTGAAGGAATTACACAGGAACGAAGTTGGCGTTTGTTTGAAGGAAAGTACGAAAGAAAAGGAAAAAAGAAAGATACAGGGAAGAAGAGAAGAAAAAAAAGGGTTATTTTCTTTCTCTCTCTCTCCCTTTCTGTGTGTGTGTTTGTTTCTCTGTTTGTGAGAGAGAGAACTAAAAAAAAAAAAGGATTAAAAAAGGAAAGAAAAGAAAAAAAAAAGATAAAAAGTAATACGGCGTCCTCATGTCCACTACACCAGAAGCCGCGGTCGCTGCCACGATGTCTCTTCGCTGGGCGAAGTGTGGCGATGTGTACTACGCCGCCCTGCTGGTGCCGAATGAGGAGGCGCCCATTCCAGTGGAGAGCGGCCACGCCTTCGTGATATTTCTCGGCGACGAGACGGGGGCCGCCCTCCCGCTGGCCGATATTGAGCCCTACAACCCGCACGATATCACCCGCACCAGTCATCCAGAGGCCGCCGCGGGGGTGTTGATTGCCCAGCAACTCATTGCAGGAGCAGAGGCAGCAGCAGCAGCAGCAGCAGGAGAAGGAGAAGGAGGAGAACAAGAGCAACAAAATGAGGAAGAAGAAGAATGGGTAAAGGGAATGATGGCGCAAAGAGATCATTCGCAATCCCTACATGAAGGGAGTCAAGGTAAGAAGAAAGAAAAGAAGAGTAAATCCAAAAAGGATAAACATGCTGATAAGAATGATGGAAAAGATGAGGAAAGAGAAGAGTTAATGACGCGAAGGTTACGACAAAAGAAAGGAAGGCGTCATGACAGTGAAGAAGAGGAAGATAATGAAGAAGAGGATGCATTATTGCTTCCAAATGCTGGTAGTAAACGGTCCCGTCGTGAAAGAGAAGAAGAACCTGAAGAAGAAGAAGAGGAAGATGATGATGATGATACTAATACTAATTCCACGAGTAGTAGTGAAATATCTAGTGAAGGACGGGATCAGCAAAACCGTTGGGACGAAATGGCAGAAGATCTTAATATCACTTCACCATCACGAATGAATGGTAGAACCAGAGGGAGTACAAACAACAACAATAAAAGATCTACTGGTTCAACCTCTGCTGCTACCGCTAGTCAACAAATAGCTTTATATGGTAGTACTAATGTAACTCCATTCCTAGCGGAGATTCATCATCATTACCTAAAAGCCATAGTGGAAGCATCTGAAAGTGATCGTCTTGTGAGTATTCAAGAATGTGATCTTGTACGTGCAGTAGAACAGGAATTACGCTCATGGAGTGCAGAAGTGGGATACCTTGAACAACTATTACAAGATGTAGAGCATGAGTATAATTCTCTTGTTTCGCAAACATCGCAGAATGACAGTAATAATGTTGCCACAGTAGAAGAAGAAGCAGCCGCTATTCGTAATCGTTTAAGTCGTCTAAAGTCTTCTTTTAGTTTGGAACGTCTTGTACGAGAACATTTACATTTACGGGAGAAACCAGCAGAAAGACGAGAACGTAAACGTCCAGTTCATTCCTCTTCTTCTGCTGCTGCTGTTGGTACAACGGCATTCATAGATCCATCTATGGCGTATCTTCTGGATACAAAGGCGGCTGCGGCGGTACCGCGTGAGTTAACGCATACGTTAGCGCAGCGCTACAGAGAACAACGTATACGACGTGAACGTTTATTATCATCTCAACAAGGACTTGGTAAAACAGGATTTACAGCGCCTGTATCTCAAGTAATGGAGAAGTGGCGTCGTTCACGTGAGTTAATGTTAATTGATCCTTGCCGTGCCTCACAACCCGTTTCTCGTCGATACTCGGAGAGTCTTGCCAAAGTGGAACGACATGCATTAAAGTGTCTTTCAGCGTATTCAAATTCTGCTACTGGTGCTGCTGGTCGACATAGTGTGGATGGATTACGTTCTGCATATCAACAACAACAACAACAGCAACAACTGCCGTTTAAAGCACCGTCGAAATTGTATAACTTTAATGATCTCAACGAGGGAGAGACACAGTTAGCCACAACGCCAATGTATCAAGCCAGCAGCAGTCATCCATATATGCCAAATAATGGAATGCATGATGATAATAATAATAATAATGATGATGGAGATGGAAATGATGAGGGACAAAATACCTTTCATGTTCCACTTATTTCTCCTCTTCGCACCAGTTTTGATCCACGTGCGACCTTTGTAGTGGATCCTGCTGAAATTATGCATGAGAAGACCATAGCGGAGCAATTAGCTATGAAAAGTATGCAGTACAGTCAGAGTATCTTTCTTCCCTCAGAGGAAACAGCATGGGAGGGTAGTGAAGCCTATGATGCTGTAGAGAGAAAACAACGAACCGCTACTGGAAGAAGATCCATCTCTCGTGCCTCTTCTCGAGCATCTTCTGTGGTTTCAGATAATACCAGCGGTTATAACAGTGCGAATTACGGTAATTCTAATAAAGCTATTATCAGTAATGGTGGAAAGAAGAGTGAGACGGAGCGTAAACCTCGTAGTGATTGGCGTGCCTCTGCAAAGCGTACTATTCTGGAACAATTAACATTATATTTACGTGGTAGAAGAGGTAAACCGGCGGTATTGAATAAAGATCAATTTCAATTTATTGCTAAGAAATTATTAGATCGTGCTGTACGGAGTGAGTCGGAACGTACAGGTCTCTCCATGTCTCTACAGGCAAATAATGCCAATACCCCTTTTACCAAAGATATTGAATTACGTCTACGTAAGTCTGTGGATAATTATATTCAACGACACTTTGCAGCAGCCCGCACTCCAGCCCAGCAACAACAATATGAACAACAACAAGGCAGAAGTGCAGATAGGACGGCAGCGACATCTATGGAACGAACAACTTCTGTTCGTCGTGGGGCTTTACAACGGGCGGATGATGATGATGAGACCCGGTCTGTGATGGGAGCCCATCCACACACCACAGACTCTCCCGTCTACGATGATTTATAAACAAAGAAAAGAAATGAAAAGAAAGAAAGATGGAGAGAATTATTGGAGTGTGTGCCTGTGTTTGCCATTGGGCCATGGTGTAAATAACAAGAAGAAGAATATCATTCAACAACAACAATGGTGTTGATGATGATTATTATTATGATTATTGTGATTATTATTATTGGAAGAAGAAGAAGAAGAAGAAGAGAGAAAACCAATAGTGTTTGTTCTGCGTTAACAAGATGAGGAAAATAAAAAAAAGAATAAAGACTTGCATAAAGAAAAGCTGAGAAGCACACAAACACTTTTTTTTTTGGATAGAGAAGAAGAAAAAGAAGTAATAATAAGAATAATAATAATATTAATAATAATATTACGAAATAAAAATTAAAGAAAAAAAAAAACCTCCTCAAATAACGAAGAAGCGCCGGCAAGGTGTATGGAAAAGAAAAGAGGAGAAGGAGAAGAAAAAAAAAAAAGTGTATATAAGGAAGAGAAGATAAGTGACAACATAACATAAAGAGAAAGAAAAGAGAAAAAAAAAAACTATATAGAGGGCAAGTGAACTCTGTTTTAATGTGAAATAATTATTATTATTATAATAAAAAAAAAAAAAAAAAAAAAAAAAAACGTTTACTGCTCTGACTAAATGTGATCATATTGGTCCTTTCTTTCTCTGTCTTTATTCTTATGTTTGCCTGTATGTCTTTTGTAGTTCTCTGTTACTTTCATTTCTTTTTTTTTTTTATCTTTACCCATATTATA